TGGGCCGCGCACCCCAGCCCGCCCGCAGCCCGGCAGGTGCACTTCTCAGAGCAGTCACTGGAGACCACACTCTCCCCAGCCTGCAGGGAAATTCCCAAACACCTTCGTTAAACCCTCACTGGAGAGAGAGTCAAGTCTCCGTATCAGAGGCCAGTAGCAGCTACGCCTCCCTCCCCCACACCTCTGACGCAGGCCGCGGACAGGACCCGGCTCAGAGCAGGTGTAGATGCTCCGATACCACAAAGACACACTTTCCAGATTGGCTGAGAGGCCTGATTTCAGGTGCCCCTCCCAGCCCCTCAAGCGACTGTATCTCTCCCTTCATCTTACAGCTGATGGGAGTCAACGCCCACCGCCCCAGGGCTCAGGGGTGTCAAAACAGAGAACACCTAGAAACCAGCCACAGAGTGCAAGTAAACGGTGTGAACAGCCATTTCTTTGCCTTACTCCAAAAGAAACAGTGCTGGGTCGAACTGAAAATGAAATTTGTCAACATTTTCAGGGCTCTGAGAAGTCTAGAACATGTCGTTTCTAGTCAAACCAACCATTTTGTTTCAACAAAATCAAAATGCCTCCTTCAGTTTCCACCATTTTCAAATTGCGACTGGCTTTCTTCATACACCTGCAGGACACTCTCAAACAGAAACGCTTGTTGGAACCCCCAAAATCAGAATGCTCCGTTTCACAGCTGTGACAGATTGTAGACATTTGCAATTGGATCAAACCTGGGCATGCGCCACAACTCCCAAAATCCTGCCCCACCTGGCAGCCCACAGGACAGATCCAACATCCATGTCTATGCTGCCCAGCCCCCACTGCAGCAAGGCCAACAGCCGCCACAGGCCCCGGGGCCAGGTGTGTGGGGGGGCCAGCTCTGCGCCCCAGAAGGGGCAGAGCGCAGGGCAGGAGGGGCAAGTCAAAGCAACCAGACCACAGAGTGTCCTGCCCCCAGCCCTCAGAGTCAGGCGGAGCAGTGGAGCAGCAGTCGGGCAGCAATTCAAAAGGGCAGCAGGGGCAGCCGGGAGCTCCAGGCCCCTTTGAATCTCTGGGCCCCAGGGCAACTGCCTCCCCCCCACACACTCCCATTGGCAGGCCTGCCCCAGGCGCAGGCTCTACAGCAAAGCAGCGTTCTCTGCACAGTGTGACCTGGCGCACTCCAGACACACGGGACACTCCGCAGCCAGGAGGCACTTCTGTGGGACATTGCGGAGACGGATGAACAGCCAACAGCTTGGAAGTGCAGAACCGGATCGTCCGCGATAACAGAGCCGGTGGCAGAAGTGCTTCATTGGGGTGGAAAATTGAGTGCAACATGGGTTCCTTTTAAAAGCTGCCACATGCCTTACGCCACTTTTTTCAAAAGCGCCTTCGCTTTTCTTAACTAAACCAATCACAAGTGTCTGAAAAGGGCTGGCCCTGAAACAAAACTCTCTGATATTTTTGGTTCAAATCAACTTGGATTCAAATTCCTTCACTTGTGTAACCCTCAGACCCTGCTTACAACTGTATTTTAAAAAAGAATGACAAACAGGAAAACAAAAATGCTCCATTTAGAAAATGCTGAAATGAAACAATTGGATTTCTCCTGATTTTTTTTTGTCATATTGCTAACAATATGGCTAAAAAAATTGGCTAAACCAAGGTAAAATCACAAAACAACTTGGCATCACCAAATCTGCATTTTTCCCCAGGTGGAAAGGCCTTGGGCAAAAAAGCGTGTCCAGTGTCTAGTAGCAAGACAATCAGTGCTCCATGGATTTATCGGTGCAAAGGACAAAATTCAGCCAGGCCATTAGTGGACTGCAGCCCTGTGAGGTTAAGAAAGCTGGTTGTTCATCAGCCTGCTGCAATTAATTGCATATGAGGGATTTCAGAGTTGTGTGTGCAGTTCCCATTGGTCCCCGGCTGGCAATGGCAAGGAACCGGTTCATATTCTGAACATCTATTACAGGAAAAGCAGACTCGTGGGCGAAGCGTATTCTTTGGGTGGAGCTAAGAAAGTACCACCACCCCCTTTGCTTTTCCAGTGTGTCCTCCTCTCAGCCCCTCTCCTTCCTCCCTCCCCTTTCAGTCCTGTGCTAACCCTGCAGGCAGCAACAGGCCTGAGAAATTAACGCCTCAGGACCCCAGCACTGACCTTGAGGTAGCGCCCGTCGCGCATGCAGCCGCATCTATCCATGGACACACATGCCTCCCCGTCGGCCGCAGAGCCCACATCACACTGGCAGCCCTCAAAGCACTTCCCGGTGCACTGGGCAGGGGCGGACAAGCCGGCGCAGGTGAAATCGCAGGACCTGGTGCACAGCTCGTAGTGGCTGTTGGCCGGGCAGGCCAGGGCTGGCGAGAGAAACAAACCAGAGAGAGAGGAATTGAACAAGAAGTAAATGCCCAAGCAACAGGGGACTTGGTCTGGTACGGCAAAGCTGCTGGAGAAGGGCCTGTCTACACTGCAGACTTCTGCCAACCTATGTCATTACTGCCGTGGCTGGTCCACAGCTCCTGGCCCCCGTCGCTGTGCGCAGCCTCACTGGAGCACTTCCCCCGACCAAGAGGGGCTGGGGGCCAGAGCTGTCGGCTCTGTTTAGCTCCCTGCCAGGAGCCCATGTGCCCTGCAGGCTCCCTGCTAGCAGCAGGGGCCAGCCGCCTGCGCTTCTTGCCTCCCCGAGTGGCTCTGCGTGGTGCAGGGGTGGCAGGTTCTCAGCTCTCTGCATGGAGCAGTGAAGGTCACAAGCAGACAATAGGACAGAAGTGAGACAGTGACTCAGGCACGGCCTCGCCCTAGCGCTGCTGACAAGCCTGGCGCCTCTTGTAGAGGCGGAGCTAGGGTGGGGGTGCACTAGGAGGCTGTGTGTACACTGGTGGTGCATTAGGGCACAAAAGGCTGCTGTGTGGATGTTGGCGCAGCTGCCTCTCATGAACTGCTAATGCCGGCGCGAACAGGCATCTGTTCTCAATTCAGCTTATAACAGCATTCGGCTTGCGACTAGCTATCCTAAGATGTCTTTGTGGTGTTATCTGATGAAAATATGGCCTACAGACGGTTGTTGCTCCCACTATTATATAACTGCAGCAAATCTTAGACCAAGTATGGCCCTGGCCAGAAAGGGTTAAGCGTCCAGAGTCACCCTGTAGAGACATCTGAGAAAAGTCATTAGTGCCTTCACAGTAGGCTAGATGTGTTAAGTGTAGTGCCTTCACAGTAGGCTAGATGTGTGAGGTGCAAAGCAGTATTGCTAGAATGTAGAGGTAATACCAATCGTGCGTGTGTATTCACCTCCTGTTTGATGCAAGTTCCATTGTGTCGTGCTAGCTAGTGACTCTGGGATCATAAGGACTTACTACATTTAGATGGACTGTACACAAAAGTAAAAGTCTCAGGATACGGGATACGAACATTGCACTGTAACCTCTGGGCGATTTTGGAAAGAACTCGTGGCAACTACAAAGCTCACCCTCTGCAATGAATCTGAGTCTCGAGAACTGTTCTCCCAGGTGTCTGTGTGCTTGTCTGTCAACCATTATGCTCTCGCCCTTTTCTGTCCTAAGCCGTGGTTGTTTAGTTCATAAGAATTGGCTGTGAGCAGGTATTTGGATGAGATCTGAACTATTCCCCCAGGGATGTGCTGTGTCTGGTCCTTTGGTAGAACTTTCTTAGATGAAGAATAAGATTTTCAGTGACCCTTGACCTGGTGTCTGGGTGGAGCCTAAGGCTGGGCTGTTACAAGAGAACTCCATTTTTGGCTTCTGGGTAACCAGTAAGGTCTTACAGAAGCTGTTTTCTGCTGACTTGGTAAATCTAAGTTACATTTGAGGACTGGCTGCCCCATTTTTTGCAATTCATCATAAGAAAATAGGAATTTGCTCAACCTGGGTCAGAGGAAAGGCCCATCTAGCCCAGGATCCTGTCTTCCAACAGTGTCCAATGCCAGGTGTCCCAGAGGGAATGAACAGAACAGCAAATCATCAAGTGATCCATCCTCTTGTGACCCATTCCCAGCTTCTCACAGGGACTAGGGACACTATCCCTGGCCCTCCTGGCTAATAACCATTGATGGATCTATCCTCAATTAATTTATCTAGTTCATTTTTGAATGGTGTTATAGTCTTGGCCTTCACAACATCCTCTGGCAAGGAGTTCCACAAGTTGTCTATGCTTTGTGTGAAGAAATACTGCCTTTTGTTTCTTTTAAACCTCCAAATTTCATTTGGAGACCCCTAGTTCTTGTATTATAGTAACAAGTAAATAACTTTTCCTAATTGAGTGGCCTAAGTTGGCTCTCCTGGGAGCCCGGTCACAACGGCCTATTGGTAAGTTGCTGGTATTAAGTCTACAGGCCTTGAACCAGAGTTACTTTGGCTAAGCTACTGCTACAGGGGCCTGTGCACTTTTCCACTGCTGCCATATCCACAGCTTATTCAGTGTCAGCCCCTATAGCTATAGCAAGTGGGTCACTAGCAGTGTGGGCGTTCCCACCAGGGCTCTGAGCCTAACCCCCTCACAGCCTGAGCTCTGGGATTTGGCTCAGTTGGTTGTGTTGTCACGTAGATGTACCTGTAGACCCCAGTGGTCTGGATCCAGTCCCAGCCCCACCAGTGTCTCCTTGGCCTGACCAAGCCAGGCTATTTTTCCAGGTTGGTTCCTAGGCTGTTTGGTCCTTTAGAGACTTTCCTGCCAATAGGGCTGCTACTAATGAGCAGGTTGGGGGGAAGGGTGGAGGGCTGGGAAAGGAGACCAGGGTCCCAGGGCATGAGGGTGACAGGGTGGGGAAAGGTTATCTCAGACTGGGCTGTAGGTTGCTTTGTAAACTTACGGCAGAAAGAGGCCGTTCTCCAGGCTCTGACTGTGCCTCCAGCTGCCTGGCATGCGGCCACGTAGGCCTGCAGGCTCTGGCAGAGGATTTCCCTGGCTCCGTTGGCCGCACACATGTCATAGAGGCAATGGCTGAAATATTCGGCAGGGCTGACGAGCGAGTGACAGTCTTTAAAGGGACCGGCTGGAGCTTTGATCAACCCACAGGAGCTCTCAGCCTGGTACGGCACCATCTTTGCTGCATCGCAGATGGGGCACCTGTCCCCACAACCATGGGAGCACGTGACGCCCTCAACGGGCACCTTCCAGGCAGCCCCAAACTCATCCGCGTTCTGGGCGCTCTTCCCACTGGGCAGCAGGAAGTCGTCGTTCTTGTCGCCATTGAAGTTGCCACACAAGCCGCACACGTGTCCCTGGTAGGAGCTGGGGACGGAGACTAGGACATAGGAGGAGGCGTCGTAAAGGACTTTGAGGCCCACTTCGGTCTGGATGACGACATTCTTCCCCTCCTGGTTCACCTGGATTCTCCCGCTGTCAAGGGCCAGCGGCAGAGTGTAGAGCTCCCCGTTCACCTGTGCCAAGGAAAAGGGTGTTTGCCCATCACTGCGCTAGAGTCCCGCAGCCTCCCTGGAGCTGTGTCATGGAGCTTCCATAGGCTGATCTACCCGAGCCCCAGAGCCAATACTGGCTCTTGTTCTGAGGCAACGTCAAAAGTTAAATTCTGTCTCTCTTCTAGCTAGTCTTCCGGGATGCAGATGCAGCCCCGGCAAATCTCAAAGGCCTCTCCCTGCCTTCTGTTTCTTTATCCATTTCATCTCACCTTACTGCAGGCTCTCGATCTGCATGAGCCTGGGAGAGGTGGTTTTTCGGGAGAGGAGGCCCTGATGTTCATGGTTCTGAGGCAACGTCAAAAGTTAAATTCTGTCTCTCTTCTAGCTAGTCTTCCGGGATGCAGATGCAGCCCCGGCAAATCTCAAAGGCCTCTCCCTGCCTTCTGTTTCTTTATCCATTTCATCTCACCTTACTGCAGGCTCTCGATCTGCATGAGCCTGGGAGAGGTGGTTTTTCGGGAGAGGAGGCCCTGATGTTCATGAAAACGGAGCCCATCCTCCCACGACTGTTTGCCCCACTCTTGGGCCATATGAACTCGGCTCACGAGACCACCAGCATCTCTGCCCCTGCCCCTGCCCCTGCCCCTGCCCCATGGAAAACTACAACTTCTCTCGGCAAAACACCACAGTGTTTCTGAACCGGCGCCTGGGGAAATGAGGCAGTGAAACGGGAAGGGACCTGCCCACACTCCAGCAGCGGACTTGCTGAGAAGTGTCCAGGTGCTCTTGCTCTACTCTAGCTCCGGATCTGGCCTGTGTTAATTTGCCATTTGAGCAGCCCACGGCCTTTTGCATGTTTATTGTGACACGGCCCAAGATAGCCCAGAGGCTTTTCCATGTGGGCGGTAGAAGGGTTGGGGCTAAAACGCAGGTCACGAGTACAGGGACGTGCTGAAGATCACACAGCGAGCACCTGATGGAGCAGGGTCTAGCACCAAATCTCCCAAGTCCCCCTTCCCCGTCCCCAGGGCCATCCCTCCCCCCGGCTCCGAGCCAGGTAGCACTGGACGTCGGGCACCTGGGTCAGAGTGCAGAACAACAGCGACAAGGCCCAAAGCAAACAGGAACTCACCACGACTGTCCACTTCCTCCCCCTCTCTAGGGAGACAGAGTAGCCATGGATGGAGACCAGCACTGTCCTCAGCTGAGCCACGCGGCCCTCGCCAGAGCTCTCCTTCTCCACCACCACGGAGAAGTTTGCCAGCGGGAGGCTGCTGCTGCAGACCTTGGTTAGGGTGTAAGAGCAGGAGCCCTGGAAGTCGAGGGACCGTCCGTCCAAGGTCAGGTAGTGGGAATCGCCGGCCATGACACATTTGCCGCAGCCCTTGGCGTGGCAGCCCAGGACTCCGTTCTCCACCCTGCACTGCTCGCTGGCTCTGCACGAGGCCTCCCGGCACTCGACGGCCCCGTTGTCTTGACACCGGCACCGCTCCTGGCAGGAGGTGCTGGGGTAGAACTCCTCTCCCCTCCGGTAGTACCTGCCATGGTGCATGCAGCCGCACTGCGCGACGGGGACACACCGGTCTCCACTCAGGAGGAATCCAGCGTCACAGAAACACCCTTCGGCACAGGGGGCGTCACAGCCATCTGGCGCTGAGAGGCCGTGGCAGGTGGCAGGGCAGCCGCTCCCACAGAGCTCGTAGTGAGAGTTGCGGGGGCAGGTGGGGCCTACAGGAGAGCAGAGGAAAGGGGCACAGGGGGTGAGATAAAAGGCCCATTGAGGTACAGTGAACAAAGCTGGGGTGGGTGTGAAACTGGACGCCAGGATTCCTGGCTTCTCGCCCCAGCTCTGGGAGGAGACTAGTGTCTAGTGGTTAGAGCAGGGGTGGCAGGGAGCCAGGCCTCCTGGGCTGTGGCCCTGCACTGGCTGTGTGAACTACAGCCAGTCTCCCCTAGACAGCAATAAGTCACAGACGCATGCGGCCGGTGAGTAAGACATTTTGACCTTGCCCCCGCCCCTGCCTGCCCCCAAAGCAGAGTCCCGCCCACAACACTCACTGCAGAAGGAGGCCGATCTCCACGGCCCCAGCGGGACTCCCCGGGCCTGGCAGGCCGCCACGTAGGCACCGACCGCGCTGCACAGAGCTGAGTGATGCCCCTTGTACTGGCAGGTGTCAGACAGACAGTTGAGGAGGAAGGGGGCGGGGGCGGGGTCGACAGCCCCATGGCACTGACTGAACGGCCCATCCCCTCTGGCAAGGACCCCGCAGTACTGCTCTCCCCTGTAGGTTTGTCTCTGAGCCTCGCTGCAGACTGAGCAGTCCCCGGTGCAGCTAGCCGAGCAGCCTGGGACCTCCCCCACCTGCCAGCTCTCTGCGAAACGGACGGTGTCGGTGGCCCGGCTCCCGTCCCTCATCGTCAGATCTTGGCCAGGGCTCGGGTTGCCGTTGCCGCACAGGCCGCAGAGGGCGTTGGCATAGGTGCTGGGCACGGTGACCCGGACCAGGCTGTTCCAGTCAAAGGTCACCCTCAGGTCGAAGGCGGTCTTGATGAGGACGTGAGCTCCGCTGACATAGGCCTGAAGCTTCTCCTCATGGTAGAAAGGCAGATCCACAAAGACTCCGTCCACCTGGAGCAGACATGGCAGGGACAGGGGTTAACTGTGAATGAATGTTACAAGCAGGGGACAGGGACCCAGGGCTCCATCCACAGCTCTGAGAGGTAGTGGGAGCCAGGACTCCTGGGTTCTCTCCACGGCTCTGGGTGGGAGTAGTGTCTAGTGGCTAAAGCTGAAAGCTAGGACTCCTGGGCTCTTTTCCCAGCTCTTCCACTGACTGTCTATGTAATTTTGGGCAAGATTTTGTCCTGCGGTGTGCCTCGGATCATACACACAGTGTCGCACTAACGCTTTCCAACATACCAGCTACTTGCTTAACTAAAGGCTGGCTCCTTGGTTTACATGGACACCAGAGCTCATATCCTCTGTGAATCCCAACAGCTGGGATCTGCCCCATTGACTCCAATGGAGCTATGGCCCATTGACCCAGCCGGGATCTGCCCCATTGACTCCAATGGAGCTATAGGCCCATTGAGTCAGCCGGGATCTGTCCCATTGACTCCAATGGAGCTACGGCCCATTGACCCCAGCTGAGATCTGGCCCACTGACTCCAATAGAGCAACAGCCCATTAACTCAGCCGGGATCTGCCCAATTGACTCCAATGGAGCTACGGCTCATTGACCCCAGCTGGAATCTGGCACCCAGATCCCCCTTCCGCAAGAGCCCATGTACCTGGATCCTCTGGGGATGCTGTTGGCTGATGGTGATGGTTCTGCCGTACAGCTCCAGGGTCACCTCCCTGGTAAAGGACACAGCCCTGCTGCCGCGGTTGTTTTGGATTGTGACATTAAACGGGGTGAGCGTGGGGTCCTTGGAGCAGACCCCCACCAGCTGGTAGATGCAGGTGCCCTGGAAGTCATATCTCAGCCCAGCGAAGGTGGTGTAGTGACGGTCCCCGGAGGCCGTGCAGGTGGAGTAGCTGATTGGCTGGCAGCCCCGGACCCCATTGACCACGGCGCATCTCTCACTGGCCTTGCAGCTGGTCTCCTGGCAAAGCACCATGCCCAGGCTGGGGTCACACCTGCACCGAGAGCGGCAGTTCTCATCGGCCCAGAACTCCTCGCTGGGCTGGTAGTAGCGGCCGTTGTAGTCCCAGCCACAGCTCCCCACGGGGACGCACTGCCCGGCGCTGAGGACGTAACCGGCGTTACACTGGCAGGTCTCCACGCAGGGCTCCCGGCAAGAGGTGTTGGCAGTTCGGTCGGAGCAGCTGGCCGGGCAGGCATCCCCACAGGCCTCGTAGTGGCTGTTGTCAGGGCAGGGCAGGGCTGAGATAAGGGAGGGGAAATTAACAACAGCCAAACTGACCCACAGCCTATCCCGACGCGTAGCCCTGGTCCAGACAATCCTATATCCCACTTCCCTTTGAAGATGCTACACACTCAGGTATCACACTCAGGCCAGCTGCAGAGCGGAGCAAAAATCCCTTCCTGACCCTGCAGTCTGTCATGCCCTGAAACATGAGAGTTGATAGGAAAAATGAGAGGCTTACCCCCATGGAAAACATTGATTTGGGGTGCAAATTTCAGCTGACAACAAACAAAAAGCAATCTAAAGAGTTCTGCTCGGAAATGCTGCCCTAGTGCTTCCTTGGGGCACTGGTTTGGTGCCTCCTTCTCACCTATAAACACCTAGCTCCGTGTCTGGACATCACCCATGATGCACCGTGCTCTCTCGTTTTGTGAAGGGGAACTGGTGCACCATGGGAGCCAACCACCCTGATGCATCATGGGATGTTTAGGGTGAGAATAGAACCCAGGAATGCTGACTCCCGGCCCACCCTGCTCTGACCCACTCCCTTCCCAGAGCCAGGGGTAGAACTGAAGAGCCATGGCTCCCAGTCCCCCTGCTCCAACCTGCTCCCCGCTGGCCCCACACTCACTGCAGCCAGACGGCGTCCTCCAGTCGCGGAGCACGACCCCCTCCTTGCGGCAGCTGGCGGCGTAGGCACCCAGCGCCTGGCACAGCATGCTCCTGGCCCCCCCGTTGAGGCAGACGTCGTAGACGCAGCTGTCGAAGAAGCCGTCCGGGCTGAGCTTGCGGTGGCACTCGCGGAAGGGGCCGTCCGCCTTGGCTATCAGCCCGCAGGCCTCGTCCCGCTGGTAGCGCTGCCGCTGCTCCTCCTCACAAGTGGGGCATTTCCCCTGGCAGACGTGCCAACAGAAGGGGTCGCGGTCCCTCACCTGCCAGCTGGAGGCCCACTCCACCACTGATCTGGGCCGGGCGCCGGCCGGCGTGGCCATGTCATCTGCCGGGTTCTGGTTGTAATTCCCACAAAGGCCACAGGTGGCGCCGTCGTAGCTGCTGGGCAGGGTCACCTGCAGCAGCCAGTTCCAGTCGAAGGAGACGGCCAGGCCGAAGGCTGTCTGCAGCACGGCGCTCAGGCCGCTCTGGAACAGCCGCAGACTGCCCTCGGCCAGGGTCAGCGGCAGGCTGGTGGCAACGCCGTTCAGCTGCGGGGGGAGGGCAAGCATGAGAGCACGCACAGCGGGGGATGGGGATGGCGGAACATGCGCTGCACAAAGGGAGCTTGTGTTGGGAGCACTGGTGTACTGGAACGTGCTCTACACAATGCACTGGGGCCTGGTGTGTTGGGGCTGCCGGTGCCACTGAGAATGCTGCACAGAATATTGTGCTGGGGTTGTATGTTGTGGGATAGTGTGTTGCGAGTCCAGGTGCTGTGGAAGAAGCTATACACAATACAGTAGCAGCGCTGAGCTGTGTGGGGGTATAGGTCAGTGGTGCACAACCCATGGGTCATGACCCCAAGGAGATCGCGGATGTCTTCCCAGGGGGTTGCAGCGCTTAGATCTGGCTGGCCGGGGCTGGGCCCAGCAGTTGGCAGCCCCTGCAATGTGGGGGTCGCAGATCTAAAAAGATTGCACACCACTGGTATACGTGAATCAGAAGCTATTGTGTTGCTGTGAAGCAAGCTGGAGTGGTGTGATTTTGTGTGAGGTGAGTCATGCTATGGTTGTGCTGTGCAAAGCTGTGTTACATTGCCATCAGATGTTTTGTGTTGTGGTCGTGCTGTGTGATGCTATGTAGCGTTGGTGGGACACGGTGGGACAGCTGCATGCGCACTGTGCTGTATTGTGTTGGTGTGAAGCATGTTGTGTTGCAGCTGTGCTGTGCTTTGTTGGTATGCTGCAGGTTATGTTGCAGTTGTGCTGTGTTGTGTTGCATGCAGCATGTTATGTTGAATTGTGCTGTGTTGTGTTGGTGTGAAGCATGCTGTGGTGCAGATGTGCTGTGCTGTATTGTGTGGATGTGAAGTGTGCTGTGTTGCAGTTGTGCTGTGCTGTGTTGCATGCAGCATGTTGCATTGCAATTGTGCTGTGCTGTGTTGGTATGAACTATGTTGTGTGGCAGTCTTGCTGTGTTGTGTTCCAGTTGCGCTGTGTTATGTGGTGTGTTGCCCTTGGGCTGGCTGGAAGCCCGACCCAAGCCAGGAGACTCACCCGGACTTTGCCAACCTCTCCCTTGTGGATGGAGATGTTGTACCCATAGACGTAGATGTTGGTCAGACGCACATAGGACACAGCCTGGTTGCCCCCCCGGTTGTCGTTCTTCTCGTTGATGGTGAAGGGCACCAGGGAGGGGTCGCTCCCGCAGTACGTGGCCAGAGTGTAGGTGCAGGTGCCCTGGAAGTCGAAGTTCAGCCCGTCGAAGGTGTGATAGTGCGGGTCCCCCCAGCCCCAGCAGGTCTGCTTGTAGTTGGGGACGCACGTGGCCTGGCCGTTCTCGATCTTACACGTCTCCTTGGCCCGGCATTGCAGGGATTTGCAGGGGTCTGATGGGAGACAGCAAGCAGGAGGGGTGAGCTCTGGTGGGGGGCTGGCACCGGGATACACCCAGAGACATGGAGCCAGCTGGGGGTTGGACTCCACCTCCTGGGGTATCTTCCAGGCCTAGGAGTCTACGGGAGTGTTCAGCAGAACTCTGGTCCCGGCAGGGGGCAGAGCTGGCCTGAAATAACTGCAAGGCAGTAGCAGAGCTGGGGAAAGAACCCAGGAGTCCTAACCCCTCCCATCCCACATGACCCCACTCCTCCCAGCCCAGAGCTGGGGTCGAATCCAAGAGTCCAGCTCCCAGCCCCCGCTCTTGGCACCAACAACCGCTGATGTGCTCTGGCTCCAAGAACCCCTCACAGCACCGGCATCAGCCACGGTCCTTTACCTCTGTTGATGCAGCCCATGACCCCGTCTTTGACCTGGCAGGTTTCATCCCGGGCACAGCCATGGGACTCACAGCTCAGGCCTCGGGCCGGGCTGCAGCTGCAACTTTGCTGGCAGGCGTTTGCCAGGACCGTCTCGTGGGGCTGTTTGGAAAAAGGGCATAACCCCAGTCAGCGAGCAGACACAGCCAACCTTTCGTTGGCCCGAGGAGAATGACTGGTGGGGGGAAACTGAAGCCCGAGCCCACAAGTCCCAGCGTCTACACCCCACTTCTGCAGTGGGGCACAGAATCAGGAGTCCAGGCTGTCAGCCCCTTGCTCTAGCCACTAGACTCAGCTACCAAGATGACTGATTAAATCTTGCCACCGGATGATGGTTACGGTAGCTAGCAACTTGGAAACAGGATGGGTCTAACGAGGAGGGATAATGCTGGATGCACTTGTAATCCGGAGGGACTGAGACCACTAGGAAGCATGAACTCTGCTCTACAGCCCAAGCCCAGAGCCATCTGGCTTGTAGCCTGTGGAGAGGCACATGAGATTAGTCCCTAAAGTCCTAGGTTCAATACCAGCTGCCACTGGACCAGGGTTCATTGGCTTACACATACCTGCTTTCTAAGCAGAGGGCATTCAGTAAGGTGACACACAGCAGCTGCTGTCCTCCTGTATCAAAAAGGCTGCAATTTCTCAGCATTTGCCTGAAGGCCACGCTCTTTGTGTACCTTGACTTGTGAGATTGACAATGTGTGTCTTAATGGTTACAAATTTGTAACTTTTGGAATCCCAGCCGCTACGGTTGTGTAGTCTGACAACCCCATCATTTTGTGCAGCTGTGAGAATTTAAATCTATAAAAAATATTTTCAAATGCCTAAAACCCACAATGTTGCACAAAGATGAGATAATTTCAATAAGCAGCATTTGTTAAATGGGTAAAACCCACAGCTTTGCCCATCTGGGAACTTTTAAATAAGCCAACTTAAAATAAATGCTTAAACTCTACCGCACTGCACAAAGTGAAAACGTTTAATATAGCTTAAAGGTAACTGTGCTGTCCTTCATTAGAACTGTAAAGCCATAAAACTGAACTCACTGAACTGAACTCTACAGAGACGATGAGGTGACCCACACCCAAAAAGGACTCAGAGAAAACCTCCCGCCCAGTTTACCCAGGAATTGAAGGATCTTCCTCAAACAACGGCAAAAGAAACTCTGCAAGCTCATCCCCTCCCCGCTGTCCTGGAGCAGACACAGCTACAATCCTGCCTTAGCCTGGATCCGCTGCTACTACCGGCTAGCGAGAAGCCTATTGAGGTTCTTGTTTGGGCTGGTTATTTGTCGGTTTCGGTCAAAACCCATCAACGTGCAGTCAAGAAGCTGGCTACAGAATGTAGAAGCTAAGTATTCCAGCTCACAGGCACAGGGCTCCGCCAGGACACCTGGGTCCTTTCCAGAGTTGCTGCTTTCCAGAGTACAGCCCCTCCCTCCCCCACCTGCAAATCTGACCCAGAGTCTGTGCCCAGGACAGAGGAACACATGGCTCTGACTCAGATGTCTTTGCCTGTCTGTGGAGATCGGGGACTCAGCACAGCCAGCAGGCAGAATGCCAGACCCAGGGGATCCCACAGATGCACCTCCAGGCTGTGAATCTGCCCTGCTCCGGCTGACCTTAGGTTCCCAGTTAGGGGGCAATAGGCTCAGATCCTCATCCTCCAGCAGGGGGCAGTACCTTGTAGTATCTCCCCTTCTCGAAGCAGCCACAGCTGTCCACAGCCACGCAGCCCTGGCCGTCGAAGAGGAAGCCGGCGTCGCACTGGCAGCCTTCGGCGCAGGTCTCCGAGCACGGGGCAGCGCCGGCGACCCCAGCGCAGGTGGCCGAGCAGAGGTCGGCACACACCTCGTAGTGGCTGTTGGCCGGGCAGTTCAGAGCTGAAGTAAAGAGAGAAATTACTGATTCACAGAGCAGCCAACTCTGCCTTCCTGCCTGCCCAAGCCCACTCTCAGTCTCTCAGGCTCCATCCCCCAGTGGTCGGTTCTCGCTCTGCTCCCCGAAATCTCCCCAGGGCACTGCTGACAGACCCCGACCGAGTCCCCCCGAGCTTACTCTGGGTTACACACCACATAAAGCTCCAGGCAGGTTTTCCAGCCCTTGGATTGTTTCCGTAGCTCTTCTTTGAGCCCCAGCCCATTTCCAACATCGTATTTGATGTGCGGCCCCCCAGAGCTGGGCACAGTCTCCAGTCGTGGCCCTCTCAAGGAGACCTCACCTCCTGACTGCTCCTCACAGTCCCGTTTCTCCAGCCCAGGGTCACCACACCATATAGACCGCAGCACAGTCTGTGGAGCTCATGAGCAGCTGGCTCCGTCAGGACACCTGGGTCCTTCCCAGGGTCACTGCTTTACAGAGTACAGCCCCTCCCGCCCCCACCTGCAAATCTGACTGAGCAAGAACTGATTACAGTGGGGGAGGTCTAGGTTAGATATTAGGAAAAACTATTTCCCTACGAAGGTGGTGAAGCACTAGAATGGGTTCCCTAGGGAAGTGGAGGAATCTCCGTCCCTAGAGGTTTTTAAGTCTTGGCTTGACAAAGCCCTGGCTGGGTTGATTTAGTTGGGACTGGTCCTGCATTGGGCAGGAGGCTGAACTTGATGACCTCCTAAGATCTCTTCCAGCTCTATGGTTCTATGAAAGGGAGCAAGGAAGGAACCAGAGTGGGAGAGCAAGCAGAGACTGGATGTGAACACACAGAGAAGTGAAGGGTCTGGAATGAGATGCCCAGAGGGGGGATGAGTGAGCCAGGCCTTGTGCCATACCGGCATCCCGGCACTTACGGCAGAAGGAGGCGCTCCTCCAGGGCTGGATGGAGGCCCCAGCCTCCTGGCAGGCCGTCACGTAGCTGTGGATGCTCTGGCACAGGACCGGGGAGTCCCCGTTGGCCAGGCACACGTCATAGAGGCAGTTGTTGAAATACACGCTGGGGCTGACCGTGCCATGGCAGGCGGCGAAGGGGCCGTCAGGGGCCGTGAGCACCCCGCAGTAGTGGCGCTGTTTGAAGACGTCCTTCTTCCTCTCCTCACAAACCGGGCAGCTGTTCCCGCTCCATCCGTCCTCGCAGGCCGCCCCCGGGACCGGGACTTTCCAGGCCGACCCGAACGCTGCCATGTTGGGGGCCAGATTGCTGTCAGGGAGCAGAAATTCATCGTCCTGGCGCCCATTGTAGTTCCCACACAAGCCACACGTCTGCCCCTGGTAGTTCCCTGGGACGGTGACTCTGGCCTGGTAAACCAGGTCGTAGCTCACGGTGAGGCCGAAGTCCGTTTGCACCAGCACGTTCCCGCCGTGCTGATATGCTTGGAGCTGCCCCTCAGCCACAACCACAGGCAGGTTGTGGGAGACCCCGTCC